AGTTACTCAACAGGTGAATGTGGGACATTGGTTACTGTTTTATCTAACACAGACCCTCCACAAGGCTGTGCACTTCTCCTAGTACTTTATTTTTCTGACAAACCAATAACTGCACAAAAAATGTTTTGTTTAAAATGAGCTTGATTCCTCATGTCTGTGATATTCACATATGACTTTGAGCACAATCAAAATAAATAAATTTTAATTACAGGGCAGTTTCAGTATCTGCAGGTTGAAATGGAATCAACAATCAAAATGAAGTTTGACATATGGGTTGTACTGTTTTAAACAACCCAATACTGCAGAATCAGGATGCAATACTCAAATTTGTTTTTACAAAGCTTTTTGCATCTTATCTTTTTGATATACAAACGTTTCAGTCTCTGCAAAGTGACTTGAAAAGAATTCATCCCCACCAATTACTGTTCATTTCATCAAGAGTTCAAGTTGTCAGGTCCTTTCGTTCCAAATGTATGATGATATCCGCGGGCACTTTACTGTGAATATTGTGTAAGGTGTATACTTACTGTGATCCTATATCTTAATATTTTGGCTTTTTTCATTTGTTGAAGGATGTTTATTGTGTAAAGTAGACACGATGTTTTTGTATCAGTACTAATCTGCTCTGTGCGTGTCACTGCACAAGCTATTCCCCCTTAAGCTGTTAAAAACACAACTAGTGTGTACTTGAAAGCAGGCATCCACTGGTGCAGGTGTCAAACGTATATCAAACAGTATCCTTAAAGCGTATTCATGCCAGCAGATTAATGATGCAGATAATCTTAAAACTGATATATAGTTTAAATCCAGCACCTTTCAAAGACATGCAGAAACATGTGGCCACACAGAATGCATCAAGTCACACATGAAAATAATGACACTGGTCCATATAATTAACATCCATAAAACCCTCCTCAAATGTTAACTATGCATTGAAAATCTGCAGAGTAGCAATAAGATTTCTTTGTAAGGTCGTCACCTGTGATGGGGATGCTTTGGCTTATTCCTACATGGCAGTTGATTATCCCTCAACATCCCATACAAGCGTATTTAATAGCCTCTGTCTGAATGATCACTGTCAAGTCAATTGAAGATTGAAGGCTTCCACATATATCAAATATGTCATGTTTTATTGGTTGTTTCTGAATAATACTAAGCCCTGCCAAAAACATTGCGCACTGATATTTCCTAACTTGTTAAGAACTGTGTTGGGCCTGCTCACACATAAAAGTTGTCTTTTGTTTTTATTGTTATTGGCACAATTGTTGCTAAAATCCTGGTAGACTCAAATGTAGATTAAAGGGTCAGAGTGAATGTGCAATCTTCAAACAGTAAGTGCCATGCTGTGCAAATAATCAAAAAGCCACAAAACTGCATGGCTTTACCATTCACAGTTCAGTTTATCAAGCAGACCCTAAAATGGCTTTTCTCAGCTCCACATTTCCATATATTGGGTGATAAGATGAAAACACGAATTATCCAAATGTTTTTTTTTTTTTTATAGCAGCACATGTTGTTGTTGTCAACATTGGCACATATAAGATGTGCTTTAAGCAGTTGAGGCAAATGACGATCATTTTCATTTGTGCCAACAGATTTGATGACATTTTGGCAGATCATTAAAGAGTGGTTGTGCAATCGTCAGCTAAACTTTAGAAAGTATTGTGTTTGCATATTTGTTGGAAGCATGTCAAAGGTGAAACTAAGGAGTGCCTGGAAGACTAAAGAATAGGAGGAGAATAAACTGTAGGGTGTACTTCACTCAAAAGTTTCAAACGACCTAACACAATACTTTATTATATTCAAGTGAACAAAACAACAGAATATTAGTAGAATTAGAGGACTTCATAGACTTCATAGAACATTAAGTAGACTCACTATAACCCTAACCTAACCTTTAAATAGGTCTTCACCTAAACGTAATGATTTACTTTACTATGACTTGCTTTTTGCCCCCATAAGGAAGACAAGTTCAAACAATGTGAGAAACATAACGTGACTAACACCTGGACCACACACTGACGCAGGTGTATAACCATATTAGAAGAAACTAAAAAAGTAGTCATAGTAGTAGTAGTCTGTCGCAACGGTTAAAACCATGCTTTATAATATTATTTGAATATACCGAGGTTTGACCAATTAGGTATCAACGATCTAAGTGATTTGTTATGATATGATATGAGTTGGCATGAGATGATATGATTCTGATTTACGTACCAGGGTAAGGTACGTGAAACCATGGGGAGTTCGCTACGGCGTCCAGGCTGATGTCGGTCCTGGCTGAATAGCCATACTCATTAGACTTTGAAGGCAGGACTTCAAAGATGGTCAGTAGGAAGCAGACCAGCCAGCCGCCACACATCCCAAACAGAGCCTATAAGATACAGATAACATTTCAAGGGAAGTTCATCCAACACACACATAAACATTATTATAAATGTTTTTTCTTGATCTGGTGAGGAACAGACTAAAGACCTTTAAGTTACTTAGTAAAATATTAAAATCAAGTCACATGCAAACCATAGAGTCAACATTTTCTGCCAGTAATCGGATTCTTATAAAAAAAAACTAAACAATGACAGTCAAATCTATCCTAAATATGAAATGAAATAATTTGGGTTATGCTTTACTGCAACCAAAGCTGATAGGTAAATAACTTCAGCAACATAGGGTTCTGTGAGCAAACTCCCTTATTCACATCATCACGATAATGATAATGTTTCCACAACCATCTTTGATGCTGGAGTATGAGCACAGTCTGATTACATTTGCATTACATTACAGCCTGTATCCAGCTTTCCTCCAAACGAGATCTGGGCAGCGGTATGTACTTTTTCATATAGGGGGGAATACATGGGAGCAGAATGTTGTGCACAAGAAAGAATGTTCGTCTTTGAGGAGAGTCAAGCAGACATANTATTAATAATACTAATGTTATCATCAATAACATTACAATAAAATTACATCAATAAATATTACTATTATTATCATTATAACCAGTCTGGTGTCTCTTTTCCCCTCCTCCTCCTCCTCCTTTCCTACCCACCTCTCCTCTTTTCACAATTTTTTCCACTCACACCAGCCCATCGAGGCAAATGGCCACCCACATTGAGACTGGACGTTCTGGAGGTTTCTTCAAGTTAAACGTTTTTTTTGTTTTTTTTCTCTGCACAGTCGCAAAAATGTTTGCTCATTGTGGGAACTTTTGGGTTTCTTGTTTTGCATGAAATAAAAAAAGCCATATTTATACTTTTAATGTAATAAGTCCACGTACTGTGTACATGTATACATGCATACATGCATTGTTTTCATAAATTGGTGTGCTCTTTCTATGCCGCTGTATTATCCCTGCTTCATTCAGTTCAACAGATACTGATGAATGGCTGTAGAAACTCAGGGAAGATTTATTTCTTTTCGAAGGCCCTTCGCCCTTAGGGTTTTGTTGGATTGCACGACATGTGAGTCACTCTGCTAAAATGTGTGGAGCTTCCATTCATCAAGCATTTCAGAGTCTGAACCCTGAAGTCAAACGTCAGAGTTCTTTTCTCACTGTCTTCACAGAGTCAACATCCAAGGAGCTTCAAAATCACACACCTTATTTATTTTGGCTGTTGTTGAAGAGGAAAACACAATTCTGTGCTGTTTATTAACGGGTAAAAGTCCAAGCTACAAAAATAATCTTCAGTGTACAACATACTTAACATTTGTCAAACTGTGAATAATGTCTGTTCGGATGTGAACAGAAAGGTTGTACTCACGCTGACCAGGCATGTAAGTGCATTAATGTGAAGAGGGATGGTAAAAAGAGAGCATGTGTCAACCTCAATCCACCCTTAGTTAAATACAGGTAAACAACACACTCCCTGTGTTGGTTCGTCACCACAGGAGATTCTCTACCTAAGAGGTGGTGACTGTAAACACAACACTGTTGTAGGTGTGGGATTGGTCACAGTATCCCTCTAAAGACTTTGACTTTAATTGTGTTTGCTCAAATCAAACAGAGACAGTGAAATTACCCCTGAAGAGAAAACAAAATGATTAAATCCTGCTTGCATACGTTTGTACTTTATTCATTATTTCCCAAATTTATATGTATTTTTCACCACTTCTAATGACTCTTAAACTCTAGCAGGGCATCACAAATAAAAACATGAGGTCTGCAAAGCCATCTGGTCCTCCCCAGGCTAATTGGACACTTAATTGAATTTCTCCTTAAAAGACCATGACTTAACAAATATTTAAAGATAATGCTTCTTTTTTAAGAGCTTATAAAAAAAGTCAGACCTTAGGTTATTGGTTGAATTTTTTGTTTTTTTGTTGTTGTCTTTTTTCTATTTTAATTAAACCAATACGTTCAAACTAAATTAACCTTCTTTTCTCTGCTCCCATCTGACAGTATTGTACTTGGAAGCTCACAGCAGATATGATATAACCATCATGTTTGACAGTGTTCTCAACCACCTTCATCAGGGGATTTATTTTGGAACAATGGAACTCTACTGGCCCCAGGATCAAACACTGCATGTGTGTTTATGTGGCCTGCCACTAGTACTGTGAAGAGACAGATTTGATTGATTTGGTTCTGCTCAATATAATATGTGTATGTGTGTGCGTGTGTTGTCCAGGTAAAATTTCATGGATCATGAATTTCGGGGACATTTTTAGGAGGCACATATATTATGTATGAGTGAGCACAATTAGCTTAATTTACTGTGTCCTATGACCCTACAACCCATTTACAATAAAACTTTATATACTTTATTTCCACTTGTCAGTGTTTTAATAAAGTATTCAAGGGGACCCCTTTGATGCAGTGGTTAAAATGACTTCAGAAAATATACCACCACCCTTGCACCAAGTGAGCAAGTGAAATAATACAGAATGATAAATAGTTGAGTTGAATGAAGTGTTGGATTGATATTTTACCTTCTAAATGTTACTGTTTTTTACACTAAAATTATTCTGTGGTGTACTGCAGTGGACATGCTGTAAAATAAAAAATATATTTTTTTTTAGTCTAAATTGAAAGACTTTTTTTTTAGACTAAAATAAAAAATAAATTGGGCAACACTTTTTTACTCTGTCACCAGGAAGCTCCAAACACACACACACACACACACACACACACACACACACACACACACACACACACACACACACA